ATATTTGATGATGAATGAATGTCATTACCCAGTTAAGTATGTATACTGCAGGTTTGGACACATCGCAAGACGATTATGTATATGTCGATCTTGTGGATATTGGTCGTTTCAACGTCGTTACCCTACTTGTTACTACCCAACGCTGTCTATTTCGCATCACGCCCTGGTGGTGTTATCATGCTTTCTGCAGGTGCATTAGCTGAGGTAAGAAAATAGTTTTTTATCTTCTATCGAGATATGCAATAAATTACAGTATGCAGCAAGTCAGAATGTGGTTATAAACTTGATAACTATAATAACTTGCACTATCTGTTATGTGGCTTGCTACTTAAGGATTCGTGATCCGCAAGATGGATACAGGGTGAATATCCAGTTCAAGTTTTATTGATCTTGTATGGCGTGCATTGATTGAGTTGTTTAGGTCGTTGATAGAAGTTTGTTCTTCTGCGCGTTATTTTCATCACTTCCGTTCTGCGCCGAGGTAGTACGTTGTCTGCTGGCTCTGGCGACGTTCGAAGTAAAAAATGAACTTTACGAAATCTCTATAGAATTATGGTTAGTTCCGATAATGTGCTGTTCTTTTGAAAAGCTGAGCAAGCTAGACAGTTTTCCATCTCAGCCTTCTCAGTTCCAAACTCGCTTACCGCGCGAAAATTGAGACGCAGAAACCCTGCAAAAAAATTTTTCGTTGTGTTAGTAACTGTCCCTCACTATGACCTACCATGTCAACTTGGCGTGGTGTGACACTAAGTGTCGGATTATAAGATACACGCAGTGTATCCCTGGTGGGCCCTTCCAAACTGCGAAGAAGTTGGACATTCTGAATTCTGCAGGATGGCCAGCTAAGACTGGGCGGGCCGGATTTGAATCTCTGTCCTCTACCTGTAGGTCAGAGTTGCTGTACCAAGTACGAGTCGGTGATAGCTCTGCGGCACTCAAGAGCGCGGCCTAATCTGGTCTTGAGAGATAACCTTCTATCCCGCACAGCGGGAAGATAAAAAAGCAGTCATGCACATTAGTAATCACTTACGGCGCTGACTGTAACAGGATCGATGTCAGGTTGCACGACATTGTCTTGATGGACAAAAACGAGACGTCTACAACAACACACCATATAGACATCCTCATGCTCTGCATCTACAACGCCGAAAGCACCTTCACAAACGTCCATCAGCTTTTCTGAACGCGGTAGGACACATCAAATACACCAAATCAGCAGAGAACGAAGGCCAGGAAGACGGACGTGTGACAGTTGATTAATGGAAACGTCATAGATTGTTATACGAGGATTTTATCACGAAACTTTGAAGGCGTTGGTTTTGTTGTCCAAACATGCATTGTTTACTTGGACAGTTTGCATAAGACCCAGTCACTTTGACTGGCCATCCTGTGCTCAAGAACTCTGCTTCAGAATACCCAGCATCCTCAAGTGCTACTCACCAAATTAAAAGCTGATGAATGATGCTTTACAAGAAGAATTGGAAAAGGTCGCTCTCAACGAGAAGCCTTTCAGTGCGAGCAACTTTAATGCGCAAACCAGGATTGCACTTGTAGGGCAATATAGGACTGGAAAATAAGGATTTGAGCTACGACAAAAGGTGCAATCTTCTTGTTGGGCTTTTTTTCGCAGCACGACTCTTCCAGCGAAGCCGCATCTTTATGAAGAACGAACTTTGCTGGTGGACCTGAGAATCGCACCACGCAACGCTCACGCGGAGATCGGCTATCCTCATCAACCGGAAATGATCTATTTACTTGATGGCTCAGTAGTTCCTTCCGCAGTAGCTTCAATCAGCTCTTCCTTCGAAGAAGAAATAAGAAGTTAAAAACTAAAATTCCTCCAGGAACTCATCGTATGACTGCTGTAGAAGGATTGCTGAGTGCTTGAGAAGCACGTCAACATTTTGATAAAAAGATAAGTGATAAAGTGATAAAAAGTTGGATCGCACCTGTAAGACCGCTAGAAATTGCTCGAAAGACGATGGACTTCGAGGCTGAATCCAAATGGACTCATCTCGAAAGAGCGAGCGCCAGCTGGAAAACAGTTTTGCAGAAGGCCCTTTGGAAGTAGATGCGAGCGGGGATATTGAGCAGGCGAAGGAAGACGAAATCGCAAGAAGGCCGGAGGGACTTTTACGAGCATCACGTACGCTTGCAGCACTGCTGAACGGAGACGGCTGAACATATTTCTTCCACATAAAAGCTGGGATTTCCCGCGAAGAACTTCCAAAACAACCTCATCTGCTCATCAACACTTTTGAAAACGTCCCTTGACTACACTGGAAAAGTATTACCACAGATTTCACCTACTGAAATACGAAACTCTCGCGTCGCATTTAACATTAACACATTGGCGAAAACGTGACCCAGGTGTTATGCAATGACTGCCACGCGGCAACCAAAATGAAACCATGACCAAAATGAAACCATTTTGCCACCGGCAAAATGAAACCATGACCCACATAATGGGTCATGGTTTCATTTTTTTGAATTATTTCTGGATACATTCGTCTCAAAAATCCTTTCAAGCTCTGACCCTAAAGATCACTCCCGCGTCTCCCGTCTTCTTCTCAGATTTACGTGCATACGTAGATGACGATCGACGTAGTTTTAGCTAAAAATTTTCAACTTACTCGTCAAAGACATTTTCTCACAAGGCACTTCGACGTCAACGTGTTAACTTCAGGAAAGGATTCTTGATAAGTGAATAAGTTTAAAAACCGTCCTTCTCTTCGAAAAGGTGATGAAAGAATCTTTGGATTTACCCTCCAATATGCTAAGTATGCTGTATATGCTTTTTACGAAGATTATCCTCGCTTGCATATCTAGGGCACTAGATTAAGCTCAGCCCCAAGCTAAGGTTGATTTCGCAAAAGATTCGCCTGCATGGACCACATCCAGACAGTTTCGAGGATCGAAGAAGTCTGCCGGGAGTACCGACCTCCTCTCGTCCTAATCGCGGACTACGGAAAACCTTTGACACTTTATTTCCATGAGCGAACGACTAAAAATGACCAAACCAATGACCTTCACTTTACGTGACTTATGCTACTGAGAAGTCAATGAAAACGCTGCAAAATTGTACTGAGGA